AAAATGACATTGCGTTGCGTTGTAAAGACACGCATGCATGTGTGGAATAATTACTTAATGACGCTGTGGAAATTCATAATTTCCATTAAGAAGCGGTAAAAAAGTTTGCGCGTTTTCCCAGCCATTACAAGCTCGTTAGCCAGTCAAACGCATAAAGCCTTTTCCCACACGGCTCTCTAATTTACGATTTAAGTTTCAGATATTCATTAAAATCAATTTACTTGAAAAGATTAGATTATCTTTATAGCTTCTTTTAGTTTTTATTTAAGTTAAAGTACACGAGTATGTGTATGGCGAGTTATAAAAAAAATAGTCTTTTATTTTATAGCTTTTATAGCTTTTAATTTTAAAACTGTATCTCCGCGATTATTTGCAGAACATTAATTTATCATAAAATCGCGACATCATTTTCATTATCGTTTCAAAGTTTCGCGAATAAATCGAATAGTTCATAAAGCCAATGTAGGTCACGTTCTTGTGAACCCTACAGTTTCCGTCTTTTAATTATACCATTTTTGATAATAACATTATTTGGAGCACCGAATCTCTTTGAAACTTCCGTCATTATCAAACCACAGAGACAGATTTATTATTACATCCGCTTTTTGTATTCTTTGTTACATCTTCTTATTAAATATTGCCATTACTAGCAGAAAATTAAGATCGCCTAAGATTCCAAAATAAGTAAGAATAATAATAGTAGTAGTGATTATTTCGATTATTTCTCTTAATCGAGTTGGATTAAGATCATTTGCTCATATTAATTTATATTATTAGGTAGTTTATTAATTTATATTATTAGGTTTCTATAGTATTTAAGAATACAAAAAAAGTGAAAACTGGTGCGTGTTAAACATTCTATACTGTAAATCAATGCACCATCTTTATGTAGATTTCTCTAGAGATTTTCGAAATATTATTTTTTTCTGAATGAGAGAGAAAATTTTTACCTTGAAACTTATTTATAATATATTTCGATTTCACTGATTGTCATTGATACTTGAACAAAAATAAAATTTTTGGTAAAAGAAATGAAAAAAAAAAATAAATCACGATGCTGCATACATATTGGATATATCGATAACGTATCTTGTCAAAACATATCTCGTGATATGATATGATATTAAAAGAAATCGATTTCTTTTTCTCTTATTTACATTTTATTTTTACGCATGGTGGAGGACTTGACGGGTCCATCGTGTCCTCATATTTATGCATCGCCGTTTTTACAATTTCAAGGCGTATTCAGACACAAAGTAGAAACGTCTTTTACACGTATTTTTTCGATCGACACACTCACTCGTCTCGATTTTATCGTCGTTTGACACCTGTCGATGAATATTCATTTTTTATCTGTTTTACGTTTCATCGACCGACAGGTGGGCCGACTGCAGTCAACGTCGTCGTGTATTCAACGTGAAAAAATACACGGTAGAAATCCGTGAACGAGAAAATCGTCCGTCATCCGCTCCGCGCTCGGGCGATCGCGCGATGCTATCGACTCGCGGGGCGCGTTAACACTCCTAGGCGAAGTTCTCCTGCTTAAGGAAGACGAACGTATCCAGAAAACGAGATTCCATCGGTTGAATTCCTCGATGATTGATCCGCCGGTAGCCTGACATCGCGGCGCGAGTGCACGGAATGTTCAACTCCAATTACCCGGAGCCTCGGAGATTAAAGTGGTCGCGCTATTACCGAGGAGGACGTCCGTCGTCGTCCTCCTCGTCATCGGGGCATGTTTGGGCCGTTTCCAAGCCGAACGTGAGCCGCTGCCACTCATCGTGTCGTCGTCGTCCCGGCCACTTTACGCGCGCGAACGTACGACATATTTGCGCGCTCACGTAGCGCATTACGCAAAGAAAGCAATTAGGCGGCGAACAGTGGACGTGCGCGAGAACTGACTAGACGGTTCATTGATTTCCCCGGCGAACGACGCACGAGCAGCGATGCCGACGGAATACCTGTTGGACTAGGGTTATATCGTCGATTGCGTGATTTATGTAAATGATCGATCGCGCGCGCGAGCGAATAATTAAGGTGGTCGAAAACGCGTCGTATTTATATTACGATCAGTGTTCCATGGCGTTCTAGTGAAAAAAATGTTGGAATTTGCATATTGTGCCGCAAAAAATTCTGATGAATCTTACGTTTTTTTATTATTTTATTGGAATAATGAGAACGAATTACGTCTGTGCAATTGATAATTAAATAATATTATTTTATAAATTGCGATAAAAATCTTTTAAATGGGAAAAATATATAGTTCAAATCATTTAAAATCTATCAATCAAATTGTATATTAAAAAATAGTAGGCAGCAATAGTGGAGCAGCGAAACAATTTGTGATACATTTTCTTGTTGTTTCTTTTGCCACATTCTTGTTCTGAAAGTTTCAAATTATTTAGACTTATGTCATGTCATTGATATTACATGGTCCACAAGATAAATGCATATCATTTCTTAGACACATTTTCAGATTAGTTTTCTCAAAATTATTCCATCCTGTTGCAATCTTTTCAGCTGAGCCTGTGTTAAACTTAGACATTAGAGAAAATAATAATAAATAGCTATCTATTACCAATTTTTACGAAAGATTTTGCCACCAAAACTACAATTAATATTCGTTAATTAATGGCTATATATCTCGATATTTGTTATTGTAATACCGGTTTTACAAGTTTTTATGATGTATCACAAAATCGCACTCATAATATTACTCGATTATTTACTTATTTGAAATTATTTTTTATTTTATTACACAAGACAATTCGCAAAATTATTCAAACAAATGTTATTGTTACACAAACGTTAAACATCTTTTTCTCTAAAATAATAAGTAATGCAATTTATTATCAGAATATACATCTAATGTGTTTCAAAAATATTTTATTTTAGACGCTTCATTTTCTTTTGTTAGGACTTTTTTGAGAAGGTCTGTATAATTATAAATCAAGTTAATGTCAAATTAATTGAGTTTATATACTTTCTCTCTTGTTGTATTCTTAACATAATTTAATACGTAATTAATTTGCTATGATAATGTCTTTTACAATGTACAGAGCGACTTACCTTATTACAGCGAGTAATAATTTCATCAAAATTTTCCCATTAATAAATTTTAGTTTTAAGTTGATTAAACTCTAGTTGTTATAGATGTGTTCCCGATTAACCCGATTTTATCGGGTCTAGCGATAAATGTATTCGGAGAAATGCAAATAGGATCACACTTTCTAGCAGCCAAACGCGATTAGAGTTTTGGCAAAAGTCAGCGTGGTCTAGTTACAGTAGAGAACAGTATTCTTGGATCAGCTCTCTTTTCGATTTCAGTTCCGTCTTTTCTTCTCAACCCTTTTTCCTCATACTTCCAATACTCTGTTATAATATCCTTTGAATTAATCAGTATTTACTTCAAATGTGATTTAATCAATTCGATGTCCAAAAATTATTGTATAATAGAAACAACGAGGAAAATAAAAAACAGTTGAAACAGGCATTTAGCTTTTTAAAAGCAATATATTCCGAAGTCCGAAGATCATCTATAAGTATTTTTACAATTTGGAAAGAGAAATTATTCACGCGAATTACAGAATGGACTGTAAGCTGAATATTTGTGCAATCATCTATACAATGTTACCGATATCGCGACGCAGCGATGCAGTCCTATCGACTCTGTTCTCCGGAGCAGTGATCGGAACGCTGCTTATCGAGTAGACAATTTGGAACAGATATCGAATTGCAGTTGCGGCAGTCGACCCCCTAAATCGATTGCTCGGCAGACACGCTGATTTTGCGAAATTTTCGGCCGTCTGAATGAAATGTCGAAACACACGGTATTTTTGTCGAATAAGGTCATCGTCCAGTGATAAAGATGCGAGTTAGAATGTCGATGAAATTGAATAACTAACAGTCATGTCCAATCTCCCAAATCATCGTAAAATCTCGTAAAATCTCCCAATATCGATCGAGTGGATTTTGAATGAATATCTGACGTGTAGAATTAGCTTCATTTAGATGAACTCGACGGTTCAAGGGTAACGTTCGATTACATGTCCATTAATTATAGGTGACATAAGACACACGAATACGGCCAGGATTATCGGATTGAAATTTCATTTCCATTTACTAAAACGTGATTTTAGAAAAATTGATGGTGTCGAATTAATTAAATTAACGCTTGACCGATAAAGAGAAAAAGAAACTTTTTTTTTTCATATTATGCACATTGCATTTATTTTAAATCATTACAAGAAAAATGAGGAAAGACTAAAGAAACGACTATATTTCAAAATAAAAAAGGAACGTTATAATTATATATTTTATAATCGCTATTAACGAATATATTGAGAAAAATGATAATATAATTTAATGTTATTTAAGAATTAGAATTGTTTACGTTAATAAATTAATTATTCTAAATATTTTATTTGTAAGAAATAGGCTCTTTAAAAATACAATATATTATTTATTGAATAAATTTATCAATTATTAAATCTGACAATAGTAATTTTTTTCATTTGTTATTCTTATTAAGATATAATTTAAAGTGATATAATTTTTAATTTAAAACATCATTAGGCAAAAGATATAGAGCAATACATATTAACTTAAAATCGAGAAATTTGATGAAATTGAAATGTATTCGACTATTTAGACATTTTCGTCGCATAATTGACATTAAAAATAAACCTGTTAGACAACTTTAATTATTACTATATGCTAATGCAAATCAGGATTTAATCCAATCTTTATAACATAGTTTGTGTTATTATATAAGGCGTTATCGAGATCCTAATCTCCATTCCAATTCAGTATTTCACAAAATTTAATTTGGGAATTAATAAATTCCCAAAAAGTGAAATAAATTATTAGTTATTATTGTTTAAATGAGAATTAACATATTGGTGAATTTCCGAATTTCTATTCAAAATACAATAAATTTATCAAATAAATTTTTCTCCGTTTATTAATTATCGTGTAATAACATGCGAAAGCGTACTCACTGTAGTCTGACGTATCGTCGTTGGAGCCATTTACCGTACCATCCGGCAGAATCTGCAGATGTCGATGCCTGATGTACAATTGTATCTTCCTGAAAGATCCGGTGATGTGGGAGAGATTGGCGGATCTCTCGGCTCGAATGCCCGTGTCACCGATCGAGTCGAATGCTCTCGCATCCACTACACCGATAATCCCGAATCCCAAAACACTTAAGCAATTTGTGATCGGTCTCGTATTGACCCTAAATACACTGGACGAATCGAACAGTCCGTGCCGTCCGAACACAACGAGCAAAAGGAGAAAAACCAGCTGCAGGAAAGAACCATCGCGGCACGCGCATCTAATCCTTTTTCTGTCCTCGAAGTTCCGGACGATCCTTTTGCCTCGCTCGTTCTCCGGACGTTCATCGCGCGGTCCCGAATAGTCCAGTTGCGCGTTTCCATCCGCCCACGTGTCATCGTGTTCCTTGCCAAAAAATCCCTCGTCAACATCTTTAAAGTCATCCTCGAAGGCTTCTTCCTTCGCGCGAGTATGCAGGCGGTGACTAGAGAGAAGAGAACTTTCTTCCGTAATTCGCCTCCTTCCCGGACGATCAATCGGATCCGCGTCGTGATCCTCGCTGCCGTAGGACGACGGCCGTGGCCTCGTCCAGGATCGATCCCGGAGACTTTGATGCCCCGTAATCGAGCTCCCGCTCGCGTCCACTATCGCGAGGCGAGATCGTTCCGTGCCGTTGCGTAGCCGCGATTCCGCTCGCTCGATCTCGTCGCCGTGCGCGTCCGCGTCCTCCCGCGAGTTCCACGTGACCGAGAAACGCTCGTCCTTGATGACATCCTCGATCGCGCGACATGCTTCGCGGAGTTCGAGTACTCTGTCTTCTTCTTCTCCTCTCGTTCTTTCTTCTCGTCGCCGACGTGACAGCTGCGTTAATGCGAGACTCTTCTCTGAGAAGTCACGTTCGTCTGGAATCGTCTTCTCTTCGTCACCGATTCTCGGAATTCTCGCGGTTTTACCGCGACCGGACGATGAGGTCTCGCGCCTGCAATCTAATGGCACCACTTTTCCTATGCAATTTCCTGCGCTTTTCCGTCGTCGATCTTTCGGGATCTTTTTTTGCGACTTACCATCAATTCTCACGGACAAATGCGCGCGGTCAGTTTGGCGTTCGTCGCTCGCAGAAGTCAATACGTGAATCGTCGCAGTCGGGCAGTCGGCATGGGAATCACAGTGCAGCACCCTATGCCCACCCGTGTCGATCTCAGCGGGCATGACGGTCTCATCCGACGCTTCTTCCTTTGCCCTCCTCCCTCTTGCCCGCGTTGTATAACCGTTTCTCCGCGGATTTATTATGGATCGTCGTGTCCTCTCTCGTTTTTTCCTCGCGATTCCGTCTTCCACTTTTCGCTTCGAACGTCCTCGCGGAACGTCGCTGATCGGTTCTGATTCGCACCGCGATCGTCGTCAGTGCGGTATGGATGAAGGCCGCACGCGCTGCCAGCTGGCATTACAACCGACACTTCCGGTCACTTCCGATTCCGAAGAGGGTGCCTCGAGAATACGTGAGCCGCTGAGAACGGGGGCTGCGGCTGCCAATCCGCTATTACCGTCCATGCATCATTCTCGCGCTTTCGATTTTCTCGCATTCTTGCGGCTGCTGTCGGTCCGTATCGGTTACGCGCGCGCCGTGATAACAGCCTTCAGAATTTTTTAATTGTTGGACCAGCTGATCGCCGGATTGCGGAACAGCGATTTATCGCGAGTGAAAAACGACGGGGTCCGTTCGTGGGACGACATCGGGTCAATGGTGAGCTCCACCACGAGAAATCGACCGTGTTTTTCACTCGATATCGCCGAGGATACTCGATACACTGCGAATGATCCTGGCAGTCGGTTGATCGGCCGGCCCGCCCGACGATGGCGAGGCCGATCCTCCTTAAATGATTTTGTCGCGGTATGCGGCTTGACGCTACCGGTTACTTTCCACGACCTCGCTCGATCTTTGTCTGTCCCCTCCTCCTTCGTTCTTTCTCCCTTCGTCACTATTAATCGGCAAGAACCGACACGCGTTACCTCGCACCGCCTTAATGAGTTTTTCTCTCCTCCTTTCTTCTTCTCCACTTGACTTTTCTTGATCTTATTGATCTGCTTTTTTTGAAACCTCGCGTATCCCTTCCGGAGTCGCGATTACGCGCAGAAAAAGCTTCGGGCGAAAGATCGGTATGAACAGACCCTCAAGTAACAAGTAACACTCTCACTGCTTCACCACTGATCATTATGCAAAAAAAAATCAGATTCTCTCTTGATTAACGTCTACAGTAAAATAAACCTCTATTAAAATCTTTGAAGTGAAGTCACGTGGTAAAAAGTTAAAAGCGAGAAAAATCGAAATCGATTTGTAAAATCGATCGCCGCGTCGCGATTGGTAACGCAGCACACGTGCTCCAAGAAATGTTTCAAAGAATATTCCAAAAAATTTATAGAGCTCCGTTTGCTATCGACTTTTTTTTTCAGTTCGGGGGAAGACACAGCGAGACTGTTCGCCAATTCGTCGCGATGACGAGGGGACCGGGCTGAGGTACTCGACCGGGCCAGGTCTCGCATATACACGCAATTGTCACAAGGGGGGGTTCGCGACCGCGCGCGGGGTTATCTCGCAGGGTCGTCGGATGGTGCCGGTGCGGCGTCCGAGAAACTACTGAACGAGTGCCGCGGTTCTCTTCCCCGGCTCGCCGGGTTCGGGCACGCTCCTCGGTTCGCTCTCGTAGAGAGACCGAACCGGCGCGGCGGCGGCAGCGGCAGCGGCGGCGGCGGCACAGGCACACGAGCGCACACCACGGCGGCTTGGCGGCGGTGGCGGAGGCCAAGAGTGAAACCACCAACACTATATCAGCGGGACACACGGCTCGACTCGCTCTACTCACACGGGCCCGCCACAGCAGCATCCATCCCATCCCGTGCCACGGCCGAAAAAGCCGGCCGATTAATAGCGCTCGTCACTACGTTCTTATTGTCGTTATTATATTGTCGTTATATCACTGCCGATGTCGTCGTCGTCGTCGTCGTCGTCGTCGTCGTCGTTGTCGTTGTTGTCGTCGTCGTTCTGTTCCGCTCGGTATCGTCACGTAGTAGTAGCCGTCCGTCCCGTTCCTATCTGTCCCGTTTCCGTCTGTCCCATTCCAGAGCAGCACGCGACAGATCTGGATGCTTGCTCGGTCTACGTTCGCTACCGCGCCACTACCACCATCGTCAGAATCGTCACCACCACCACTGGTCGCCACCACCACGCGCCACAGCTTTTTCTGCCCTCTCTTCCTTTCTCTCTTTCTTACGAGCTGATAAGCGTGGCCTCTTCTTCTATTTCTTCTTCTTCTTCTTCTTCTTCTTCTTCTTCTTCTTCTTCGTTAAGAACTTCTTCGTTTTTACTCTCGTCTCACTCTCACTCGATACTCCTTTTCTCCTCTTCCTCTCTCGGCTCTCTTGCCTCGTATTTCTTCTACTCGTCTGTCTCTTCCTCGTTCCTCTTCGTTCTGC